GGTTTCACAGGAGAATTTACAAAGCATCTAAGGGAGAGCTAACACCTATCCTTCACAGACTATTCCAAAAACTCCAAAATGATGAAAGACTCTCACACCCTTTTTATGAAGCCAGCATCATCCTAATCACAAAACCAGATAAAGACACAACAAAGAAAGAAAAATTCAGACCAATATTGCTGATGCACATAGCTGCTAAAATCCTCAGCAAAATATTGGCAAACCGCATCCAACAATAAATTAAAAAGATCATATACCATGACCAAGGAGCATTCATCCCAGGGATACAAGGATGGTTCAATATTAGCAAATCAGTAAATGTAATACATCACATAAACAAAAGCAAACACAAAAATCACATGATCATATCAATAGATGCAGATAAGATGCAGTGCCTATTTATGATAAAAACACTCAGCAAAGTGGGAATAGAGAGAGCATTCCTCAACATAATAAAAGCCATATATGAGAGACCTACAGTCAACATCATACTAAATGGAAAAAAAACAAAATCTTTTCCACTAAGATCAGGAACAAGACAAGGTTGTCCACTTTCACAACTTCTATTCAATATAGTATTGGAAGTTTTAGCCACAGCAATTAGACAAGAAAAAGAAATAAAAGGCATCCAAATTAGAAAGGATGAAACAAAACTGTCATTGTTTGCAGATGCCATGATAGTGTACATAGAAATCCTATAGACTCCAACAAAAAACTGCTTGACCTAATAAATGAATTTGGCAAAACAGTGGGATACAAAGTCAATATCCAGAAATCAAAGGCATTTTTGTATACCAACAATGAAACAGCAGAATCAGAAATCAAGAAAAAATCCCATTTGATATAGCAAAAAATATATAGAAAATACCTAGGAATAAACCTAACCAAGGATGTAAAAGACCTGTATGCAGAAAACTACACAACACTGAAGAAAGAAATCAAGGAAGACACAAACAAATGGAAACATATACCGTGTTCATGGATCGGAAGAATTAATATCACCAAAATGTCCATACTACTCAAAGCAATTTATAGATCCAATGCAATCCCTATTAAAGTACCAATGGCATATTTCACAGACATAGAAGAAACACTGGAAAAATTTATATACAACAATAAACAACCCCAAATAGCTGGTGCAATTTTGAGAAAGAAGAGTAACGTAGGAGGGATTACAATATCTGATACCAAACTATATTACAAGGCCACTGTAATCAAAACAGCCTGGTACTGGCATAAAAACAGGTACATGGACCAATGGAACAGAACAGAGCGCCCAGAAATAAGCACAAGTCTCTATGGTCAATTAATATTTGACAAAGGAGGCAGCAACATAAAATGGAGTAAAAGTAGCCTCTTACCAAACTGCAAATTAAAACCACAGTGAGATACCACTTCACACCGGACAGAATGGCCATCATAAACAAAGCAACAAACAACAAGTTTTGGAGAGGCTGTGGAGAGAAAGGGACCCTAGAGCACTGTGGTGGGATTGCAGACTGGTATAACCACTATGGAAAGCAGTGTTGAACTTCCTCAGAAAACTGAAAATGAATCTGCCTTTTGACCCAGCAATTCCACTGCCAGGATTATATCCTAAGAACCCTGAAACACCAGTCCAAAAGAACCTATGCACTTCAATGTTCATAGCAGCACAATTTGCAATAGCCAAGTGTTGGAAGCAACCTAGGTGCCCATCAGTAAATGAATGAATGAAAAAACTATGATACATGTACACAATGGAATTCTATGCAGCAGAAAGAAAGAAGGCACTCCTACACTTTGGGACAGCATTGATGGAACTGGAAAGCATTATGCTAAGTGAGATAAGCCAGACAGTGAAGGACAAATACCATATGATCTCAACTATAACAGGAACCTAATCAACAAAACAAACAAACAAACGAAATATAGTCAAAGACACTGAAATAGAGAACAGGTGACAGCGACCAGATGGGAAAAGGGAGGGAATTTGGGGGGAAAAGGGGAAGGGTTTACAGGAACAAGTATAAAGGACACATGGAGAAAAACTAGGGGTGTGGAAATGGGATGAAGGTGGGGAGGGCTCGGGGGTGTGGTCTGGGATAGGAATAAAAGACAGAAAACTATACTTGAACAACAATTAAAATTTAAAAAGTTGCAACAGTGAAAGCAAAGAAAAAAAAAAACAAAAAAACAAAAAACCAGAACTCGGGAACGCATCTCCTTGCCCATTAATATGAAGTCTGTCCAGAAAGTATCCATCCATGTGCTATGTAAAATAGAGACATTTATTGAAGAAGATACAAGATACAAGAAACATTGTACATAGAACAATGATGACTCAGATCCCTTCAAAGTTGGAACTTTGGGACCTTACACAGTTCTCCCACTGTCTTTTCCACTTTTCAAAACACTGCAAAATTCTTTGTTAGAATCACCATCATCAGCTGCCCTATTTTGACAATTTTCCTCAATCTCATCAATGGTCTGAAATCTCCTCCCTTTCAAAGGTGGTTTCAGTTTTGGGAAAAGCCAGAAATTACAGGGTGCCAAATCTGGCCTGTATGGGGGCTGAGTCAGATGGGTCACCAATCTTTGTTGACTGCAGTCTGTATACTTTCACCATTCTCAGGTGCTCTGCTTGTTGCAGACTGTCCAGAACATAGATCATTTTCAACAGATTCTCTACCATCTTTGAAGCATTTGTGCCACACTTTTATTTGTCCTATACTCATTTTATCATTCTCAAAAGTGTTCTGAATCATCACAATAGTTTCTGCAGAAGGATGTTCAAGCCTAATGCAAAATATGACACAGATTCATTGCTCTACTCACTCAGTAATTTTGAATGTGATGGCCACACAGTACACATGCTCACTCAATGGCATTTACCATCCCCACTGACTAGTACAGTGAAACCTTCATTGTTCACACATATGCATTCCAGTCCACTCTCCTTAGCTGCTAGGTTGCATAGATGTTACCTAAACTATTTTCTTTATATTAACATGGCTGGACTTTTCCCAGACAGTCCTCCTATATCTTGCCATATAACCCCATCACTAATGGTCTTTCCCTGAAATGCTAGCCACCTGCATACATATGCCCAGTTTACTTTTACTAACATCCCATTTTTACCTAACTCTTCTGATGTTCCAAGTCTCTTATAAGCCTAATTTGGCTACTTTCATAAACATAAATTGAGTTTTGTGTTGAACTGAATAGACCTCATCATCAGTGGAGTTAAACAGTTAAAATGGCACTCAGGGAAATACAGCTATATTACTGTTCTTCAAGAAAAGATGATTTTTAAGACTTTTTATCTCAAATATATTCATTTTCATCATTCACTTTATCTCTTTTGATCCAAACTTATAACACATGCACATACACATGTGTTGATAACAAGTGATAATTACCAAATATTGACACCTCCTCTACCATATGCCCTTATAAGTGGATTTAATCTTCACTTTCAACAAATATATGTCATAGGTTAGTCATAAAAGTGACTAAATGACCAGTAAGGGCACACATAATAGTATTTTTAAGTCCTACACCCAACCCCTAAATTAAACACCATCATTTCACTTCTCTGTGTGGTTTTCCCAGGCAGTGCCAAAGCACATGCTTGCTACCTGCTACCCAACCAAAGGAAATCCACTGAACAAATGCCACATGGAGAGATCACAGTTCTTACCCAAGTCCAGTGACATGATTCACTCCCTCTTATTTCAATTCTAGAATTATCACAGAAATACTATATTTGTCAAATTAAAAGTTTATGATGCAAAATCCACACTCAAGACTTCAACACCTTGGAATCTTCTGAAAATTCATTAACATAGTCAATAGGGAAATAAAAGAAAACATACTATCCAAAATCAGACATAAGACCATTACAAAAATATATTATATATCTCTATTTTTAAGTATATTTTACTCATGAAAGCAAATGCAACTCATTTTTCTCCCTTCTGCACTTACTGGTGGTAGATCAGGAAATTCATTAGCATTAATATAGCTGATGCATTGCAACCACAAAATACTTCCAAAGTGTGGATCTGTATAAAAGTGTCATGCACATCAGATATTCAGACAGTTGCCTTATGGTAAATATATGGTAGCTGCATAAGTACATCAGAAAGTGAGGGTAAACATCTGAAATTTATAAATATTCAAAATTTTACTGAAAGCAGCTTGTATGTGAAATTTAAATGGCATATAATACACTAGAAAAAGGCTCCATTCCAAGGATCTACAAAAAAAAAAGAATTGTATTTACAGATGACATGAAGTAATCAAATACATCTAACATCATCTGGAGAACTTAATGGCATGCCATAATTTAATATTACAGTCAATATGCAGAGAAAAACCTGTAATTATTTTTCTAATCATTAAGCCAAAAGCAAAGAACTAAATGAATCAATATAAAAATGAAACAGAAAAAGACAAATGAAAGTACCACAACATTGTTTATGATATAATTGAAATGGCTTGAAAAACCAGTTACAGCTTTGTTGTATTTTTATTTTGTTTCTTTGTTTCTACTACATGCAAGTCCTAACTGTCCCTAAACACTAAAATGCCACTCATGATTCTGTAGATACTTCAGACCTTTGCTATTCCTCCAGAAATCCCTCCCATTGAAATGAGGCTAACGGAAAACACAAGCTGTGTGGTGAAGACTCTGGCAACCTGTCCTCATGGGCCAGCTAGAAGGAAGCCACAGCCTCTCTACTCTACAGTATCTTCTAGGTACCACTCAGTCTGTCTCTGAGTCCTGCCCCTGTATCAACCCAGCTATGCAATGAAATGCTGCTTCTGGTAAAACCTCACCACCATGCTGGACTCTGTTTCATTATAAACAACCAATTCCTCCATGGTGGAGGTTTCCAAAATGAAAAAAGATGGATTTGATTTCAATCAAAGTTAGTGCCAGGAAAACATCTTTGATACTTAAAATGTCTATGCAGAATTATTCTACCCCCACCCCAAACCCCCACCCCCCTGCAAAAAAGCAAAAGTTTTTTTTCAAAGAGATTAAAAGGAAATAGAAATTTGTAAATGTTTAAATTCCTAATGTAGAGATGAAGAAATTAAGGAACAATAATTAAGGGAATCAAATGATCAGAATAACTATAATCCATAAAATCTTGGAAAAGTTGTTATTTCATAGATTTCAATAAAGCAAGGTTATCAACACCCTCATATGGGAGTATTTTGTGCATATTAAAGCACATTTCATCAATAAATTTTCATAAGTTGAATATAATATCAATATAATATTAAATGGGAACTTTAAAATATCAAGTAGAATTATATAGTAAGCTAAGGTCCCTAGTTTTTACATATTTTCAACTATATTAAATGTGTAATTAACCCACTTTAAGTTCTCAAAATCCAATCTGCATTATATGTATTTTGATGCACAGATTTGCTACTTTTAAATACAATTCAATGTTCTGTAAGCATGCACAATTAAGTGAAAAAATTAGGTAGTCAAACTACTGTTGATAAGAAAGTGGAAAGGGTTTTGTTGTGGCCCATTTTAACTGATGAGTTTGTGTGGCTCCTGCTACAAGAACATCTGCTATCTATTTTTAAATAATGATACTCACAGGAGTCATATGTGTGGATATGTATGTGTGTGGAGAGAAAATGAAGTAAATTCTCTGACATTTGTTTTACATTCTTAATTATTCTACAAAGATTATTTTGTAAGTAGCAACAGAAGTGCCAAGAGGGAGGCTTCAAATCAAATCTTGATTTGCCCCAGCTGATGTTATTATGCTATTATTATACCTGTATATATTTTTAACCTGTGTTAACTCTAACAAATACAATGAGAGGAAGTCATGTTATCTTCTCCCTAAAAAAAACATAGGTTCTTGATAGCACTCAAATACATGGAAACATGTTGGTGTCTAAAGAGATTCTAGTACCTTCTTATGAGAGAAAAATCACAAGTTAAATGATTGATTCAAACAGCAACTGAAAAGTTACATCAACTAATTCTATGCTAGGATCACTAAACAAATAAAAATAAAATATGATCTCAAGAAAACATGTGGCAGCAGTTTGATTAGTGATGTATCTGAATATGCCTTCCAACAACTAGAAAAAGTAATCCAGAGAGCAAAGAAAAAAATATCCCTGCTGGGGCCAGAAAAAATGACCAGCCATACAGAACAGAAGGTGTGAAATCCAAGCAGTCTTTCAATTTCATGTTTCTGTAGCTTTCCATGTCAGCCACTGCCTGGACCCAGATAACGTACAGCATCACCACCAAGGAAAACAGGATGCCTGAGAAAAACAAAACAAAAGACCTTTAGTCTTTCTGAAGATGTTTTCCCAAGAACGCTCACCCATCATTTGCCTAAAATGATATGTCTCTAAAAATATAATTCTAACTAGATCACCTACTTTGTGTCAGACCTTTTATTATGTACTTTACATGCACATCATTTGGTTTAATTGTCAAAGCACTGAGATGAGGGTTATATCAGTATAAGAACCATAACAAGGCAACAGCTGACATGTATTTATTGAGTACTTACTGTGTGCCAGGCACTGTATTAGGAGCTTAGAACATAAAGAGTTAAAGATTCCTGCCTCTTGGAATTTATTCTAACATTTATCCTTCTTTACTTATGTCTGGTTTAGAATACATTATTTGTAATACATTATTTTTTTCATTATGTACAATGAACTGGTAAAATAGGTACTGTTAACCCCCAGTTTTGAATATGTGCAAACATAGCTAGTAGTCTTCTAAGCTCACTTTTAGCTCAGGTCTTTCTGACTATTGTTATTATTATAACACAGATAATTAGTGCTACAGTTAAATATGGTCATGAAAATAGAAATCAAATTAAGTACCAGATATTAAAATGTAAAAGAATATGCATGGTTCTTTAAAATTAAAATATATATACTAAAGATTGATTATAGCATAAAGAAACACTGCCCTGAAAGAATGAGGGAGGAGACTAAACATAAAGATTCTGTGGAACAGGAAAATCACAGGTCTCAGATAAAGAGCCTATTAAATAAAGAAAAGGATGAGTGAAGAAGGGAGGGAGGGAGGGAGGAAGGAAGGAAAGAATGAGCTTAACCAAGAACAAGAAGGCAATATCACAATTTATCAACAGTTTCAATGAAACTGTAATCCACATGTTCAAATATACTGTTGGAATTGTAAGAATAGAGAAAATATAGTGTTGGACATTTGGTCTTAACAAAAAATTGACAGAATGACTTCAATAATGCTAAATTTTGAGAATGCCACTAAATATATACTTTTCCATGTTACTGTGACTATAATAACAGAAGGGAGCGACTGGGTCGCACTGACCTGCAAATTCAGGAGCATCAGCTAGGGGAGCTGTTTCACTAGTGAGTGAGTGAATGACAGGTCCCATGCATAAACCACACATCCTGAGGGATTTAAATTTGTCCTAAAGCAAAACATACTTGAGGTCACTTGCTATTTGTTCAAAAGTTCAATCCAAACATGTCAAAGATAATGAACTGACCCATCAGGTATTAAATATACATATTTTAAATGCTGGTCTGTCTGAAAGAGAAAGATAACTCTCTGATGAGAGGCGGAGACTGAGCTATATTGGCAAGAGAGGGTCACTTTAAGAACCTAGCCATCAGTCACCCTTCTGGAGTTAGTTGTGCTCCTACAGTATTTAGGATGTCTTTTCCCTTTTGGTCATCAATTTCATAAACAATTTTAACAAGTAAACACAAAAGAAGAAAAACTCATAAATATGTCAACGTGTGTCCATATCAGAGCTTCAACTTTCTTATAATCATGATACACAAGAGTAAGGAGAAATTAACATAGATGCCTCATTAATAAGAAACACCCTTCACACTGTTGTCTGTAATGCAAATGTAAATACTAGAGCACAAAATAGAGCAATTTAACCACTGAAAAACAATTGTATTACAGGGAAATAGTAAACTCATAGCCTGCAAGTAAACTCCTATGAAGCCATACCTCAGATTTTGACAATGATATGGCAATGCTATGTGTTGTCTAGCAACCCTGAGCATTTCAATACATTTTTCAGCAACTATATAAACAATGTTCTCTGATAATGTAAAAGTTTGACTTAGTGATTTGTATACTATTTGCAATGCAAACACATTGTAAACCTTTGTTATTGGTAGTTGATATGAATTTTATCTTCCTTACATCACGTGAATCTCTTGCACTTGCAGATATTTTTATAAAAAAAAGAAAATTGCCTTTGTGAAAAATTAATAGCCTGATACACATTCCTCAAAAGTTTCAAAACCCACTTCTAAATTTAGAATATTTACAAAAAATGTATTGCAGGTAATCATGTAGAAGATGGTTCCTAATAAGGAAGAATTAACCAATCTTTAAATATTGTTGTTATTTGAAGAGTAATTTCACCCTGAAAGCAATGAATAATAGGTATTTCTATCACTACTACAATATTTAACTTGCTCACTAATTGAAGATATAGTCTACTTAATTCATTTCTGATCAGTTTATGATTACACCTTGCCCATGGGGTAAAACAGTATTTCCCTGCTATTAAATTGCCAGTTTTATATTAGGTTGGCCAAAAAGTCCATTACATTTTTTTCTGTAAAATAAAAGACACCTTTTTGTTTTCACCAGTAAATGTATTTATTTGGATATTTTGAATGTGTCAGCTATATCCCACCCTTGGTTTCTACTGGGTAGAGGCTAAGAGTGATACTAAACATCTTCAAATGCATAAAACAGCCCCACAGCAAAGAATTATTTGGCCAAAATATCAATAGTATCAATAAACTTCGAAAACCACTTTTGACACATTCAATCAATTACAACTTCTCCACACACAGTACAAATATTTTTTTGGATTTCAGTTGCATTTTTACCATTCTTGAAATAATAAAGCAAATTTTGTGTCTTTTCTTCCATCTTTAATATTATAATGGCTTCACAAAATTAATCAATTTTAATGTTTTTTAAATGCATGCTGATATGACAACTGTCAAAATACAATCTAACAAAATTGTTTCTGATGAAGTTAAAGACAACTAAGCACTACTACAGCCATCATATGGGAAAAAAAATAAAGGATTTTTTGGCCAACCCAATACATATGTACATATGCTCATAGAGACAGAAAGAAGGAATATGAACTAACAGACATGGGGAAGTATTTACATTCAAGGCCAATGGTTTGACTGATAGAGCAGCAAGAACTTATGACAGGCTCCTGAATGAGCAATATGTCTAAAAAGCAATCAGAAGGTTGTTAAATATAGGTGGACTGATCAAATAAATAAATATATTGATGTGAATTGGAGCCAGGTTCTTCACTGCTGGAAAAAGGAGTTACTAATTTTAAAAGGGGGAAAGCTAGAATGAATTCTATGGTTTTTGTTTAGAACCATGAGATAAATTCTATGGTTTTTGTCTATCAGTGAGAATTTATGGAGATAGATGATTAGATAGATAGATAGATAGATGATAGATAGATAGATAGACGAATAAAGAAGTAAAAGTGTCTCTCTGTGTTAAAATATTCCTATGTGCATATACCTAAATATATTTCCTGACTCTGTTCCCTGAGAGGTTCTGGGACCAACAACACCCCCATAGCATACCTTAAATGCACAGAACTTGGCTTGTAAATACCAGGAAGTAGAGCATCTCAAAGAAATAGTTCAATTCAGATTGGAACAGAAAGTACATGTCTGGAATGTCTTATTATAGCAAAAATTAAGATGCACTCAAAGAATAATGGGGATGTTTCAGAAGCCATGTTGATGGGGCTCCTCCTAGCCAATTATGAGACAATTTGATTATCAAACAAATAGTGATAGTAGCACACTATATATCATTGAATAAAAAGGATCCATGTGCTCACAGTGATATAAATAAGAGTGAATAAATAAGTGGGGAGAAGGGAAAGCTTTTCCTAATTCAATGAAAAGAACACAGTATCACTGCTATGGTACTACCGCCAAAAACCCACCTAAATGCAATCACTAGGAAATATCAGACAAACCAACTCAAAGACATTCTAGAAAATCATGGGCCTGTACACTTTGAAAGAGTCAAAGTCATGAAGCTCAAAGAAGGACTTATTCTGGTTTGATGAAGAATCACATTGCACAACAACTAAATGCAAAGCATGTTCCCAGACTGGATCCTTTTGTTATAAAAGACACTATTGGGACATCTAGTGAAGTGGGTCTGGGTAAAAACACTTAAACTGCTATGTAAACTGGAAAACATTTCTGAATAACAAAATGAACAACACAAAAAAGGTTGGTGGAAGTCTGTGGCATAACGTATGTCGGGGGATGAGAACAGAGTATGTGTGTTAATATACCTAGAAAGATACATCTTCTTTTGGTAGAATATTGTTACTAATAATGAACAATCATATTATTGATTTGATTCACCTATCAAATAGAGAATCTCTTCTGGGGCAATGCTAATACAGTGAAGAAACCTTAATTATTATCCCAACAAAAATTCATAAAGTAGCTCACTGGAGGCATAATCAAAATGTGGCCCCAAACCCATAAAAATCTGAGATTATTAAAATATCACAGACAAATAGTTAAGTCACACCCAAAGCTTATTTGGGCTTTTCTCATCGGCAATGTGGGAAGGACCACTCAGAGCTTGTGATTGTGTTACATTGACTGAAAAGTGCATTCAGTTTTCTGTAAAATAAAAGACACATTTTTCATTTTCATCAATAACTTTATTTATTTGCATATTTTGAGTATGTTGACTATCTCCCACTATTGGCTTCTAGTGGTTAGAGGGTAGGTAGAGGTGCTGCTAAACATCCTCTAATGCATAAGACAGGCCCACAGCAAAGAATTATTTGGCCAAAATGTCAATACTACCAAGAAACTTCACAAACCACTTTTGACACATTCAATCAGTCACAGCACTTTCTCCATACACTGCACAAGTCTTTTTATGCATTTCAGTTGTGTTTTTAGCTTTCTTGAAGTAATAAAGCATAATACACTGAAAATGTTACATATTTTCTTCCTTCTTCAATATTAAAATGGCTGCACAAAAATTCACCAATTTTGATGTTTGTTTTTAAATGAACACTTATATGACAGCTGTCACAATACAATCTAACAAAATTGTTTTGAATTAAGTTAGTCTAAGCACCACTGCAGTCATCATAGAGAAAAAAAGACGTAAAAGATTTTTGGGGAAACCCAATACCTGGGTTTTCATGTTGAGTTGAAAACTTTTCTCTCTTAATAACATGAATGGAAGTTTGAAA